CCTGTCCTCTCTCTCCCTCTCCCCCATCTCTCTCTCTATATTTGTCTATCTCTGCCCCACCCCAGTTCAGTCCCCACCTTCCTCCTTTACCCCCAGTGGTAGCCAAGCCCCTTGGCCCCAGGACTCAGTGCGCAGTAGCCACAGGGACCTCCCCTGCAGGGACACATCTGCTCTTTGAAACAAACCGTCCCCACCACCCAGAGCCCGCGTCCCCAGCCCTCCCACCCAACCCCACCCCGAATCTGGAACAAGGTGGCCCCAGCCCCCAGCCCCCAGCTCCCTGCACAGGAGGGAGGCTGAGGGGGGGCCGAGGGAGGAGCCCCTCGTCCCCAGAGAGCCCTGGAGCCCACGGCACATAATCCTGTTAAAATATTAATCCTCATTTAGCCGGAGGCGAGGCGGCTGCTGAGATAAAGCCCCTGAGAAGTAATAAAAGTCTAGGGCAATTGATAAAGCAGACCTTCGAGCTAATAAAACCTGCTATCCTGAAGGTCGGGTCAGACCCCGGTAATCAGGACAGTCATCAGCAGGCAGGTCCCGGCCTGGGCGGAGGAGGGGGCTGCCTAATCTCTCCCGGAGAGGGAGGAGGGACGCTGACTCTCAGCTCCCCCCACCCGCCGTGGCCCTTTGGGAGGAGCTGCCCACAGCGGGAGCCTCCCCGCCCTGCTCCCCACCGCATCCAGCCCAGGGCTGCACAGTGGTGGCCGGACAGGGCCCGCCATTCCCTGTTTGTATGAGGAGAAGCAGGTGAGGGATGAGGACAGGCAGCACTCAGCGGGGCGCTGGGGACAAGCCCAGCATGTCCCTCTGCCCAGTAGAAACCCAGCTTGGGCTGGGCAGCTGGTTCTCCCCAAGCAGGCCCCACGCACGGCTCAGCTCTCCCCAGGCCGAGGCCTCCGGGTCCGGTCCTGCAGAGTCCCGCAGAGGCCTGAGCAGGAGAAGCAGCTGGCCAGCGCTGCCTGCCTCCCGTGGTGTCCTGGAGGAGTGGCCCTTCAGGACCCCTCCCCACCATGCAGCCTGGTTTCCCCATGATGCTGCACCAGGAAGCAGGCGGGCCTGTCTCTAGGCCGCACGTCCACCTGGCTCAGCTGGGTCGACAACTTCAAAATGTGTGACCAACACCCCAGTCGCAAGGAGTGCCCCCAGCACCCAGCACCTGACCCCTGACATCTCCTCCAGCGACTGGACCGGGGCTCCTTGAGAAAGGGCCGCTTCCAGGACCGACAGGCCGAGGGTGGACGAGATGAGCCTGGAGCACCCTGCAGAGCCAGGAAGCTGGGAAAGAATGACAGCGTGGCACAGGGACGCAGGAGCCCCCGCAAGAGCTCCCGGGGCGAAGGCCGGCGCAATGCGGGCCACAGAATAAATGAAGCAGTGTTGGGTCATAACCAAAAGCATGCAATGCGTGCCCACCGCCCATCGGGGCACGTGACTGAGCAGGTCACGGCACCGGGAGCAGACGCGCAGCTCGCACGCAGAATTCCAGGTCACTTCCATGATGCTCCACCCCGGTCGTGCAGCAGGGCCCCTCCTCCTTAGGTTGGGGTGGCAGAAACTGACCTGCCTTCCAAAAGGCGGAGTGTGTAAAGGGAAGGTAGGAGAGAGTAACGTTAGGGGGAAGCTGGCGGATACCCTCTGGGCCACAGGTCAAGGTCATGATGACAGTCACGAACCGTGTTGGTGGCATGCACCTTGATGTGCTGGGAGGAGAGGGCACTTTGTCCCTGTGGTCGTCCTCCCAAGAACACCAGACTAACGAGGAGGAAAATATCAGATAACCCCAACCGAGGAACAGGCTACAAAATGCCTGGCCAGCATTCCTCGAAGCCAACAGCGTCACCGAACACCAGGACGGTCCGGGAAACTGTCACACCCAAGAAGGACATAGGAGACAGAATAACAACGTAACTGGGATCCCGGAACCCAGCGAGACCATTAGGCCAAGCACCGGGGACACCTGAGTTAATACTTATCATCATCAGCTCAGTAATTGCGAAACCAGCCAGCATGCTTCAAGGTGAGAGTTCCCAAGGTGGATTCAGGAACTCTTCTGTCCTTGTAGCCTATCCAAGAACCTGGAATTGTCCTAAACTGGCTTACTTATTTATTTTTTAATGTTTTGCATGGCCAGAAAGTACAGTGGGTATTTGCATAAAATGTCCCTCAAGATGTATTTATCCATCCCACAAGTATGCATCCAGCACGTGCTCTGGGCTGGCATTGTGCCAGGGTCTGGGGGTGACAACGGCGACAAGAGAGACCCTACTGAAACCGGGAGCCTCGAACTCCCTTCCTCCTGAAGAGCAGCTGGCACGCGGGAGGGCGGAGAACACCTCGAGGGACCGGTATGAACGATGGCAGTTGCGGAAACAGATCCCAGAAGTCCATCTTCAGAAATGCACATTGCGACATCCACGAGGGACCGAGCACAGACCCGCACATAGGTGTGGGGAAGAGAGGTCGGGACAGGAGGACTGTCCCAGCCTCTCTGAGCTGATACTTTAGGGCATCACTACACATTGATGTCCACCCAAAAGGAATAAAAGGTAAAGCCTCCTGGAGATGGTGAGGCAGAGGAAATGCAACATTATCCACTCCTGACAGCCACCTGATACTAAGTAGCCTCTCCTCCCCCTCCGTGCCCCAGGAAATAACGTAAGTCTGAACCCAGAGAAGTGAGTGATACCAAGATATCCACATTGTGCTACTTTAAAAAAAAAAAAAAATCAAGCCCACCGGTGTGGCTCGGTGGATTGAGCAGCGTCCCATGGGCTGAGAGGTCCCGGTTCGATTCCTGGTCAGGGCACATGCCCAGATTGTGGGCTCGGTCCCCAATAGGGGGTGTGCAGGAGGCAGCAGGTGGATGTCTCTCTCTCACATCCATGTTCCTATCTCTCTTTCCCTTCCTCTCTCTTAAAAAAAATCAATAAAAACATATTTTAGAAAAGAAAGAAAGAAAAAATCAACAGCCCCAACCCCCGATAACAGGATCCTAAGTGGCTGGTAAACCCACTGGTCTAGAAATGGTTCCGAGTGGAGGTTCTGAAGCCTGGGTTCAAGTCCCAGCTTCTCCAGTTGCTGAGTGACCTTCAACCTCTCTCTGCCTCGGTTTCCCCACCTGCAAAGGGAGATGTCACTAGCTGCCGCCTTCAAGAACACCCGCTTGGGTGAGACCGTGAGTGGAGCCCGGGGCTCAGCCCGTGGAAGGCGCCGGTACTGTGAGCTACGCCAACTCTTACACTCTGCTTGAAGGGACCGGGGAAGAAAAGGGAACCGAGGGAGGCCGAGCTAAGGAGCTCCCGGTGACTACACACGAGTGCAGTGCAGAGCCCTGGCCACCCCAGGCCGGGCCAGGACGCCCTGAGAAGGGGGAGGCAGGCCTTCGGCCACTAAAGGCCAGACCCAGGCAGGTGGGGAGGGTGAGCAGGAGGGGTGCCCACGTGCCCACGGCCCAGGGCCCGGCAGGGCAAGTGCAGGGTGTGAACAGAATCAGCTCCCTCATCACAGCCCACACACACCTGCCACCAAGACCAGCTCTGGGCCCTGACACAGCCCGGCTTGTCCTCCGGCCGGCCGCACCCCTGGACCTGGGGCGGCCCCTCCCCCACCCCCTGTGTCCCCCCATGGCCAGCATGCCATGTCCCTCCTGCCCAAACCCAGCAGAGCCATCGCTCTGCACCTGTGAATGAAATGCGTGGGCTGCGGCAGGGCCGAGCACCCCTGGGCTCCTCTGGGCCCTGCGGGGACCCGCCTGTCTCCACACCGCAGCCTCTGAGCTCGAGGCACCAGAGGGAGCAAGGATCACGAGAGAAAGGCAGCCAAGCGCGGGTGTGGAACAGGCCGGGAGGGCACCTGGCAGCTTGGTTGGCTTCATTGGCCAGCTTGTGGTCACATGGCCAAGTCGCCCTGCAGGGGATGCTGGGAAATGTAGTCTTCATTCTGGGCGGCCATCTCATTGGAATGGATCTGCTTTTGCGCGAGTCAGTGTTACACTGGACGCTAGATTGGGTTAGCACCCATCCCGGCTCCTCCTCGGCCTGCCTCCCGGCCTGAAGGGGCACGTCCCTCCTCCACCTGGCTTCACGCCCCCGCTCTGACCTCCTGATCGAAGGTGACATGCTCACCCCAGCTGCTCGGGCGGACACTGGGCTCCAAACTCTCCGCATCCGTCACTCCCGCAGCCACCACCCTGCTCTGGGCCACCCGCACACGCCTTCCCGCCGGCACCCGCACTGGGATTCTTCTATTACATGAGGACCAGCAGTGACAAAGAACTGTGCAGCCGGCTCGGGTCCCTCACACCCGCCCCCACCCCCATGAGCACAGGTGGCTAGGGGCCCCCTCTGACCACCTTGAGGAAGTCCATAAAACGAGACTGTCCAGGCCCGTGCCTCTGAGGATCCACGGGGCCCAGGACGGAAGGAAGGTGAGGCAGCGCTGACCCGGCCCATCAGGGTGCCACCCTGTCCCAGGAGACCCGGCAGGGGAACAGGTGCCCCCAGGCTGGGGCTTACCATAGACAAAGCCAGCCTTGGGCTGAGCTGCTGGCCCTCAGCTCCGGCACCCTGGGAAGCCCACCCACAGCCTTGACCCAGGCAGGCCTGGGGCCCACATACCCCAAAGGCCTCCCCAGATTACGGGCTGTGAAGTCTGAGCCAGCAGGGCACAGGGACCGAGAGATGCCACGGGAGCTGGGTGGAGATGGGGCCCTCCCGATGGAGGGGCCCCCCTCTGCTCTCCGAGCCTGCAGGACTGGTCCCCACCCTTCCCATAAGGACACACGGACCCGAGGGGGAGGGGCACAGGCAATAAAGGCTGCTGCCAGCAGGGCCAGGTGGCAGAGGCACAGACAAGGGTGACCGAGGGCCTCTGTCTGAGACACGGGTAAGTGCACAGTCTAGTTTTCAAAGACGCACAGGACCAGCCCGGCAGGTGACCCTGGGACTTTGCTCCGTGCCTCACAGGACCAGCGCAGCACCAGCGCGTCCAGGCAGCACATCATGACACGCTCAGCCGCCCTCCTCGCCGTCCTCGCGGGTCTGGCCGCCCTCCTGGCTCCCGCGGCAGGGGTGCCCGTCCGCCAGCAGCGCCCCCACCACAAGCTGCTCCTGGTGTCCTTCGATGGCTTCCGCTGGGACTATGACCAGGACGTGCACACCCCCAACCTGGATGCCATGGCGCTCGAAGGCGTGAAAGCCCGCTACATGACCCCTGCCTTCGTCACCATGACCAGCCCCTGCCACTTCACCCTGGTCACTGGTGAGTGTTGGCCTCGGGTGGGGCCTGGCGGCTGGTGGGGGGCTGAGAAGCCAGGGGGACCAGTGCACACAGCCCTGTCCCACGGGGCACCATGGGGGGACAAAGGAGAGACAGGAGGGGACACGCACTGGGGAGACAGCATGGTCAGCGTCCCTCACCACTGGTGGCAACTGACAGGGGACAAATAAATACAGACACGGTGACAACAGCCAAGGTGACAACCCAGGAGGCCTTCTGGAGGAGGTGTGTGGCCAGAACTCAGAAAAGCCCAAGAGATGAGTCTGGGCTCTCTGTGGCTCGCCCCAGCCCCCCTGCCCTTGAACAAAACTCTGGGTGTCAGCAGGGCTCCGGCGGAGCGCTTCCTGTTGTCCCAGCTGCCGGCTGCCTCATGACAGTCCCTGGCCTTCGTCACAGGACCGGGTCCCCTTCATCTCTCCTCTTCTTGTAAGAACACCTGTCACTGGGCCTGACCCCCGCACCCACTCGGAGGTCCTCATCTTAACCTAACTAGTCACATCTGCAATGGCCCTGTCTGCACACAAGATCACTTCCGAGATGCTGGGTGGGACGGCTTTGGGGGCCTCATTTCGGGCAGACAGCTCATCCTCACACCAGCGTTTCTGGGACCACAGCCCCCCTTATGCACAGACGTCAGCGCCAGCCATCCCCTCTGCCGTCACCTTGTCACTCACCACGCCACAGGTGGGGAGGGAGAGGCGGGGACGCACTCAGCCCAGTCTCCCTCCCCCTTGCATCTTCTGAATTCATGTGTGCGTTTCTGAGCCAGTGACAAATTTTCAAAGTACCTCGAGGACCCCCCACTCCTTAAGTGCCTGCCTAGGACCCTGTCTTGTGGCTACACAGTTCATTTCACGGGCTCCCTCCTGAGAGCCGCCCAGGTCGCGCGGCAGCTTTCGCTAAAACCAATGAGGCGTCAAGCGATCCCTCGCATGTGCGAACCTGCGCGCGTGCTCCGTGGGCCGCTGGATGGAGCTGCCTGCGCGCGTGCTCCGTGGGCGGCAGGATGGAGCTACCTGCGCGCGTGCTCCGTGGGCCGCTGGATGCAGCTGCCTGCGCGCGTGCTCCGTGGGCCGCTGGATGCAGCTGCCTGCGCGCGTGCTCCGTGGGCCGCTGGATGGAGCTGCCTGCGCGCGCGCTCCGTGGGCCGCTGGATGGAGCTGCCTGCGCGCGTGCTCCGTGGGCCGCTGGATGGAGCTGCCTGCGCGCGCGCTCCGTGGGCCGCTGGATGCAGCTGCCTGCGCGCGCGCTCCGTGGGCCGCTGGATGCAGCTGCCTGCGCGCGCGCTCCGTGGGCGGCAGGATGGAGCTGCCTGCGCGCGCGCTCCGTGGGCCGCTGGATGCAGCTGCCTGCGCGCGTGCTCCGTGGGCCGCTGGATGGAGCTGCCTGCGCGCGCGCTCCGTGGGCCGCTGGATGGAGCTGCCTGCGCGCGCGCTCCGTGGGCCGCTGGATGGAGCGGTCACTGGGTCAGAGACCACCTGCCGAGACTGGTGACAGAGCCGGCCCCTTGTCCCCTCTGCCGCCTCCTCCCCACAGGCAAGTACATCGAGAACCACGGCGTGGTCCACAACATGTACTACAACACCACCAGCAAGGTGAAGCTGCCCTACCACGCCACGCTGGGCATTGAGAGGTGGTGGGACAACGGCAGCGTGCCCATCTGGATCACCGCCCAGCGGCAGGTAACACGCACGTCAGCCCCTGGGACGGCGCAGTGGGGTAAGCAGAAAGGCCGAGACCACGTGAGCCCCCGGCAGGCCGCTGCCCACCCTGGGAGCCACAGGGCTCACGGCACAGGGGTGTGAAGGGTGCTCCCAAGTGGCGTGGGTGCCGGGAAGTCACCAGCACGTACCAGGGGCTCCACAGCCCTGCTGGCTCCTCCCTGGAGCCCTGGGACCGGGAGGGGTGGCCCGTCCCCCCAGCCAGATGGACAGCTACACCTGGTCCCTCTGGCACTTGGGGAGGGTTGCGGAGGGAGAAAACACCACTCGGCAGAAAGGCATGTAACACTAAAACAGCTTTGTCCCTTCCCCCCCGGCACCCTGCTCCAGGTCGGGCGGCTAAATTCTAAGAGCAAAGGTAAAGAGGTGGGTTGTGGTGTCAGTGCAGGGACCCCATCGCGCTGCACTGTTCTGGGGGTTTCCTGGCCCTGGAGGTGTGGCTTCCAGTCAAACACGGGAACCCTCAAGTCTGAGTCCCCCTAGGTCCAAACGGAGCTGCCAGCACCAGGCTCGGTCGCAGAAAGCTGAAGCTGAAAATGTGGCCTGGTGGCCGGGCCTGTGGGGACAGATGGTTGGGAGGACAGGAAGGTTGTGAATGAAGCAGCCAGTGGCCGATGGAAAGATGACGGACAGCCAGGGTGAAGCTGGAAGGGACAGGCAATGGGACGAGGTGGGGGGGGCCACACACTCCTGGACATGACTATGGCACAAGAGGCCGGGCTGCAGGCCAGGAAGGGGGGCCCCCAGCCTCAGGGCAGTGACCTGGGGCCCCATGGCGGTGAGGATGCTACGGACCTGGGGACACTTGTCTAGCCATTATGTCAGTGCTGAGTACACCACGCGCCTGCTCTGTCCTCTATGAAAATCATTACCAGCCCCAGGTAAGAGCTATGGCAGGCCTCAGAAACCAAGGCTGCGGCAGAGTCAGGAGTGGGGATGGGCAAGTGGACAGACACAAGCCGGGCAGGAGGGGCTGTGTGTCAGCCGGCGGGGCAAGGGGGTGCCAGCCGAGGGGTTGGGCTGTCGTGTGTCAACGCTGCCTCCCCGGCAGGGCTTAAAGACCGGCTCCTTCTTCTATCCTGGCGGGAACGTCACCTACCAAGGCACGGCGGTGACGCTGAGCCGGAAGGAAGGCGCTCTGCACAACTACAAAAACGAGAAGGAGTGGAGAAGCAACATCGACACGGTGATGAGGTGGTTCACGGAGGAGGGCCTGGACCTGGTCACGCTCTACTTCGGAGAGCCCGACTCCACGGGCCACAAGTACGGCCCCGAGTCCCAGCAGAGGAAGCAGATGGTGGAGCAGGTGGACAGGACGGTGGGCTACCTGCGGGAGAGCATCAGGCACAGCGGCCTCGACGGCAGCCTCAACCTGATCATCACGTCCGACCACGGCATGAGCACCGTCCACAAGAAAGCCGGCGACCTGGTGGAGTTCCACAAGTTCCCCAACTTCACCTTCCAGGACATCGAGTTCCAGCTCCTGGACTACGGGCCGAACGGCATGCTGCTGCCCAAAGCAGGGAAACTGGAGAAGGTGTACGAGGCCCTCAAGGATGCGCACCCCAAGCTCCACGTCTACAAGAAGGAGGCCTTCCCCAAGTCTTTCCACTACGCCAACAACCCCAGGATCACGCCCCTGCTCATGTACAGCGACCCCGGCTACGTCATCCATGGGGTGAGTTGCCTACGCATGCTCGGCTGGGGGCTCCTTCCCTGGGCTGGTGGGCCTCTTTTCGTCCTGATAAAAAGCTTCCCCTATTTCAAGCTAGTCCTCAGTTCGAGGGACAGCGACCACTAGAGGGACACAGTCATGGTTATGCAATAAGTGTATGTGCGTACACGTGTGTATAAGCCCAGTGTTTGTGTGTGCATGCCTGTGTACGTGTGTCTGTGTACACGTTTGCATGTGCGGGCTTATGTGCAGATGCATGTAGGGTGAAGTGTGGGAGATCAGCCTTAAGATTGACAGGGACAGGGCCGAGCAGGGAGCCCGACCCCACATCAGCTGAGGGCCACGGGGCTGCTCAAGGGGAAACAAGACGCATGAAGGGGGAGGGACCCGTGAGAAGGCTGCTGATGAGGGAGGGGTCACGGAGGAGCCCCGGGGTGTGGCCTGGGAGGACGGCTCTGCCCTGTTTGCTGGGGTCCCCGTGTGTCCCAGGGTCTTTGCAGAGGCGCTCTCTGAGGCACCAGTGTTTTACGCCTCCGAATTCAGAGTAATGGAGGCTTGGAATCCCTCCTGCCCCCCGTGTGAACTCCAGGGCTCCTCTGCCCATGCTGCCAGTGTCCGGGGTGGAGAGGGGGCTGCTGGCAGAGAGGGCGTGGGCCGGGACTCAGGGTGCTCCCCCGCAGAGACTGAACGTGCAGTTCAACAACGGGGAGCACGGCTTCGACAACGGGGTCATGGACATGAAGACCATCTTCCGGGCCGTGGGCCCCAGCTTCAGGAGGGGCCTGGAGGTAGAACCCTTTGAGAGCGTCCACGTGTACGAGCTCCTGTGCAAGCTGCTAGGCATCGTGCCCGAGGCCAACGACGGGAACCTCAGCACCCTGCTGCCCATGCTCACACCCAGGGCCGACAGCGGGGTCCCCAGTACCGCCCCGTCCACAACGCACTCAGGTGAGGGCCCCCCGCCGGCACCCGTTCCACCACCTGCAGAGAGCACGTCCGCTGTGGACAGGTGCCCGCCAGCCACGTGGGCCTTCTCCTTCCCTGTCCCGGCTTCTGGGAACACCTCAGGTCCCTGCCGTCCCCACGACACCTGGCACCGTGCGGGGGAAGAGCAGGTGGCTGTGAGCATGTTTAAGAGGGGAGACTGAGGCCGGAGGACGGTGGTCTGCCCGGGCACGGGCCCTTCTGGGTGAACCCATGCTCCCACAGAGCCACTCCATCCTCTGCCAGCCTGCCCCCCACCCCGCCCGCCCTGACCCATCACAGGGCAAAGGTCATCTGGGCCGCAGGGGGCCTGGCTAGACGAGAGCAGGAGGCCAGTGCACTGCGGCGGTGGACAGAGGGGTGCTGGGAGTTTAATTCAGAGACTTGTGGGGCAGTGGGGCACCTCGCCACCATGGAAGAGTTGGGGTGAGTGACATGCTCCCACTTCCCTCATTCACCGGATCCTCCACTTTTCCTTAGGGTCTGCCCTCCTGGCTGGCGGCTGCCCCACCCTGGTGACCGGGCTGCTGGGGGCTGCAATTCTTCTGGCCAAGGTCGAATAATGCCCCATCGCTCAAGGTCAGAGGCCCAGGAGGTGGAGGGAGGATGGGACCATCAGCCCGCAGAGACCTGGCCCCCTCCCACCACAGAGGGTCAGTCCTCGGCCCTGGCAGCCCCTCCCAGCCCCGTGCAGGCTCTCAGCTGCTCTGCCCGAGCAGACAGCCCCGCCCCGCCCTCTGCCTGCAAGGGCTCTGGGCTCCACGCAGCCAGCCGGGAAACTCAGAAACTGTCGTGGGGGCGGCTGCAGAGGTGGGGTCCCTGGAGCACCAGGGGGCCAGCTCAGAGGACTCCGCTGGCTGAGGAACAGCCCCCCACCCCGTCTCTGCCCCGTGATGTCACAGCCTCTGGTCAGAGCAGAAACAAGTCATTCGTTCTAAAAGAGCACATGGGCACCAGGGGTCAGGCTCGGGTCTGGGCCCTGTGGACACATGGAACCAGACAGCCAGGACCCGGGCCTCACAGTGTGTCCCTGGGGGGCCAGGGAGGGCAGAAAATGCAGAGGAACCAAGGGCAGAGAGGACTGGGCCGTAGAGAGGGGCGGGTGGGGCTGCCCCTCTGAGCAGGTGGGTTTGGGGGAGTCCTGGAGGGTGAGCTGGCTGGGCCAAGGCCTGGGGACGGCCGCGCTCCAGGCGGGAAGGAGCCGGTGTTTCCGGAAGACAGGCCTGGTGGGCTTGCAGGCCTGCGAGCACGGGCGGGCACCGGGAGCCGGCCGCACACGGAGTAGGCAGGTGACCCCACGGGCAGGAGGGCGCCCGCAGCCCAGGTGACGCAGGGGCCTGCCATGTCTGATGTGCATGATGGAACGAACCCCACACACCAGGCGGGAGCTCGGGAAGGAGCAGGGAGAGCCAGCTAGGAGGTCACTCGGAGTTCGGGCAGGACATCTAGGTGGCAGGACGAAGTCGGGGCAAAATGAAGATTCAAGATGCCTCTCAGGGGCCGGACCTTCAGGGTCTGTGGACGACGGAGTGGAGGGCGAAGGCAATGGACTGAAGGCTGGGGCTGAGGTGCGGCCTCAGCTGCCCGGTGGACACAGCCACCGGCTGACAGGAGGTGGGGACCCGGTAAACAGAGAGAGGGGTCACCACACAGCTGATTCCCCACCACCTCCCCTCCCCAAGTCCCTCCATCTCCTCCAGCAAACCCACCCCACCCCACCCACGCCCGCTTCCCCACCCAACACTCCCGGCTCTTCCAGGCCCATGTCCACCAGGAAGCCCCAGGAGCTGCCCCCAATGCCTGAGCCCGCCCTCGCGCTCTGATGGACGGACACGAGGACTCGTCCCCCCGTTGACCAGAGACAGTGCACGCACGCTTCAGTGCCCCCACAGCCCAGCCCACGCTCGGTCACGAGGGTGCTGGCAGCCCGGCCTCTGCCCAGGTGTGGCTTCGACAGGCCGGAGAAGGGGTACCCCGCGCCCAGACCCGCAAGCCCCTCCCCTCCCCTCCCCCCAGCCCCGCCTGCCCCGCCTCCCTCCGCGGAACCGTCCCCTGAGCGGCGCCGCCGTCCGCGGCCGCGCGGGGGCGCGCGGGAGCCCCTCGGGAAGGGGACGGTCGCGCTCTGGGACCCGGTGCTGGGACCACGGCCTCCAGCCCCCCGAGCGGGGCCAGGGTGGCAGCGGGAGGCTTTGCCCCTGGAGCTCCCGGCCCGGGGCCCATCCCCATCCGGGCTGGCCGGCCCCTGCTCCCGGGCCACCTTTCTCTAAAGCCTGCGGGGTCCTTACGCCTTACCCGCCGCCCGTGCCTAATAAATCCCGAATTCCTCGCGAGCCCATTCACTGTGGTTGGGGGAGGGCGGGGAGGCCCTGCTTGGGCGCCGGGCATAGGTGGTGAAAGTGTGGGCATCACATTCAAAAGAAAAGGGGTTGGGGGGTCGAGAAGGCTCTTTGTGAAATAATGGGGAACCAAAACCTCTAAACCACGTTGTTCAGCCAAAAAAAGGGGGAGGGTGGTGAAAACACAGCGATAGACCACCACTGTGGGGAAGTGGAGAGAAGTGTGTGTGTGTGTGTGTGTGTGTGTAACATCTAGAAACAAAATGTATCTCTGGAGAACGCTCAAGAAAGAGGGGGCACTGATCACTCCAGAGAGGGGACAGAGTGGCCAGGCCAGGATCAGAAGGGACATTGTCCACCCCTCGTCACCCAGACACGGTGGACCCAGCCACCTCAAACTACACATTCAAAACCATTTCTTAAGAACATGGGCTTTGCCCTGGCCGGTTTGGCTCAGCGGTTAGAGCGTTGGCCTGCGGTCCGGAGAGACCCGGGTTCAGTTCCCGCTAAGGGCACGTACCTTGGTTGCAGTTTGTCCCCGGCCCTGGTTGGGTCGTGTGGGTGGCAACCACTCGATGTGTCGCTTTCACGTCGATGTTCTCTCTATGGGCTTTGACATCGGCCTGTGGTCCAGAGAGACCCGGGTTCGGTTCCCGCTAAGGGCACGTACCTCGGTTGCAGTTTGTCCCCGGCCCTGGTTGGGTCATGCGGGTGGCAGCCACTCGATGTGTCCCTTTCACGTCGATGTTTCTCTTTCTCTCTCTCTCTCTCTCCCCCTCCCTCCCTCCCACTCTATCTGAACAAAAAATGGAAAAATGTCCCCAGGTGAGGATAAAAAAATAAAAAGAACATGGGCTTTGAGGTCAGACCAGTCCCTGCTCCAGCCTGCCCCGCCCACGAGGGTTTCTCAGGGTCCACCTATTCCTCCCAGTGAACCCGGCTCCCCTCCCTGGCTGGAGCTCGATCCCGCCTCCGGATCCATCCCACCCTCCCGGGCAGCTGTCTAACCAGCAGCTGGAGTCCCACCGGCCTGGACGGCCTGCGCTTCCCTGGTCCTCACCCAGGTTTGCTGGAAGGACGGCCCATGCCTACTGCCTGCAGCCCAGCCGCCCCCCAGCCCGCCCCCAGCCTGCCTGCCCAGCATGCTTCTGACTCTGACAGGCGTCCTCAGTCAGCCTTACGTGGTCGGAGGGGCCAGGCGAGGTCCCTAAGTGTTCCCACCTGTGAGCGCTCACGGGTGCTGGAGTAGCCAAAATGGCCCCAAAAGACACCCAACCTTGGGCGTGGCCGGTTCTGCTTGGCCTGGTCTCTCGATTGGCTTTTTCAAACAGAAAAGAGAGAGAAAGAGAATCTGGCCAGTCCCACATTAAGTACTCTGCCAGCCCAGATGTCTGGCGTCACACAACCCCCCCAAAAAAGTCCCATTTGTTGGCTGACTCACCGGCAGGAACGGGGAGGCTGAGGCGGGCTGGGCTGGGGGGCTGTTTCCCCTCTGGGAAGCTGTGAGGGCGGCATGTGTGCAGGGCACCACCCTGAGCTGCGTGGCCGGGTTTACCCAGCTCCGCACCCCAACACTCAGTAGCTCAATGCTCTGTAGCTCTGCGGCCTTCGGCAACCTCTCTGGGCCTCACCTGTAAAATCAGGAAGGCTAGAAGGACCGGTCTCAGCGCGTGGGCCTAATGAGTAAAGCGTTAATGGTCTCCGACTGCTTAGAAGAGGCGGGGCGGGGAGGCCCTCGCCTGCCGTTGGGGAGTCGCACGGAGACAGTCCGGAGCGGGGAGAACAGCACACCTACTGCCTTTCCACCGCCTCCAGGCCTCTGGGTTCCACAGACAGCTTCCGCCCGGTGGTCCTGAGCCTGAAGGCACAGAGCTCCGAGCTCTGGGGCAGCCGACCAGGACCCAGCGGCACCACACGGGTCGTTTCGTCGTGTTTGTCTCTCCGATCTCCTGGGCTTGGGCTGATTTCCCATTTACGTCTGTTATTTTACGCTTTTTCCTTTTAAAATTAACTTCAGTGAAAAAGAATGAGTTGACGCCCTGGTTGGTTTGGCTCAGCAGTTGGAGCGTTGGCCCGCAGACCAGAGTTGGGGGTTCGATTCCCAGTCAATGGCACGTACCTGGGTTGCAGATTTGATCCCTGGTCGGGGTCTTGTGGGAGGCAGCCAATTGATGTGTCTTTCGCACATCGATGTCTCTCTCTCTCTCTCTCTCTCTCCCCCTCTCTCCCTCTCTCCCTCTCCCTCTCTCCCACTCTAAAAATCAATCGAAAAATAACCTCAGTGAGGATTAACCAAAAAAAAAGAATGAGTTGATTTAAAGAAAAACGTGAGTAAGTAATAGTGCAGGTGCTGCTGGCCTGACAAGCTGTACTCAGGAGGCTGCCCACGCTCCTGCCTGCCTCCTCTCGCTCCAAGCATGTGGCCACCCTGGGGTGATTCTGGAGGGCAGCATCGACCTCCAGGGTCGGTGTACAAAGACTCTCCAGGCCTTTCTGCAGAAGTACTGTATCTCCAGGTGCCCTGCACCCCTCCCAGCCACGGGTCAGAAGAGTGAACACAGCCCTGGGAACCGCCATCACAATTCACTGCACAAACATCATGTCGCTCTCGGCCCAGCCGAAACAAAGCCGCGCCCAGCGCCGCGGTCACAGAGGGCCAGGGAAGAAGACCCAGGCGGATCCCACTTACCCATCGCTCACACTGGCTGGCGGCCCAGAGCCTTCGCTGAAGGTGGCCGGTCCAGGTGCTGGCAGTGTGGACCAAGCACCCACCTGCCGCCTGGGTACTTGGTGGCAGGGTCTGACGGGGGCTGTGCAAGCCCTCTGTGTCAGGAGGCCCCGTCCCCGGCAGAGCCAGCCCCGCACGCGTCACCAGAAGGCGGCGCCCTTGGGCTCCTCAACACCCCTTGAAGCCTTTCTCACGCAGCTTCTGAGAGGAGCTCAGACCTTCCTGTCCCTCCAGCTTCTCCTTGGCTCTGAAGGAGCCGCACAGCCCTGGGAAGTGGTCAAGGAGTGGATGTGTTTCCTCGGGTTTTAGGCGGAGCCCCAAGTGAATGCGGGTGCTTCACGGAGAGAGCTAGAACTTTCCAAACCAGGGTTGTTTTAGGAAGGGTAGCGGTCATGTAGTCCTGTGCTCAGCCCGGAGGCCACCCCGGGGCAGTGGTTCTCAGGGCGCAGGGGCCCGGAACCACGTGGTAGGCCCACTGCTGCATAGCAGGGGTGTGGGG